CTGAACAGTTCGTAACAGCTCTGTAGAATTAACTACTATAATGTGAATTCTGTTTAGCTATTATTAGTTCAAGTGTTAACATCAAATAAAATTAACTACTGTAATGTTTCTGAACAGTTCATTACTGTTCTGTACAATTAACTACTGTAATGTGAATTACGTTTAGTTATTATTAATCCAAATGTTAACCATTAAATATAATTACTATTACTGGCATTCCCTAATTAAAAATATTTTTTATTAAGATTTTTTTTATGAATTTGTAAATGTGTCTTCTTTGCATGGTACGTGTTAAAAAATAGACTCGTAAGTAAATTGCTTTCGTGCAGAAGGTTTAAGATCTCAAAACCACAAAAAATATATATATATATATAATTATGAATTGCATTGTTTCTAAACCTATATATAGAACAGTTATTTAGATAAATTTTGTTTAGTTACCAAGTATTAATCAATTTCACTAAATAAGAAAAATGATTAATAAATCGATTTCATTAAATTTAAATAAATAAAGAATGTAAAAATTGCTGTCATTGAATTTTATTCTACAAAATAATGTTATTTAATTTTAAAATATAAAGTACAGACAATTCAATTTATAAATTTATTCATGACGTCTGTTAGAAAAGGAGATAAATTAAATTTCTCATATTTCTCTCCTATATGTGCAAGTTAATAAGACACGGAAAAAATTAGTAAAAAATATTTTTGTTTCTTACTGAGTATTTATAAATGAATTGTGATTAACGAAGTAATTATGTTTAAATACTATTAAGAAGTATAAACCTTACAGAAAATCTAGTTACAAGCAATTGAACTTATAAATTTGCTTTAACAAGTAATTACTACAGATTTAAGAAATTTAAAATTAGGCATATAGTAATAAACATATTTTTTTAATCGATTTCAGATCTAGAAAAAATAACAAACAAAATATTATTAATAAAAATCTTAAATTTTCTAAACTAAAAGTTAAACAAAAAATCAACAAAATTTTAATAGCTTAAACAAACAATTCAATGCCATTCATTCAATACATAGATAATGATGTAAGTAAAAAACTTTTTTTACTAAATCAGAAAATAGATTAAGTTATAAAACTAATAAATGTCGATATTCTTTAATAATAAAATTATAATACAGTATTATATATCATATAAATTTCCATTATATCATACAAATTAATTTTCAGTTTTTCTATTTGATGATAGAAAATTGTGTAAACCATTATAACGACACTAATTCATTTATATTAATTTGGCATGCTTAATTAAATAAACTCCTTTACAAAATCCCAAATACCATGAAATTTCAAGAGAACAACTCCATAATAGTCATTTTTTTTTTTTTTTTTTTACTCTCCCATTTCTCAAACGTCCGTTATTAAAAATGTTCGAACTGCAGCAATCGCAATAAAAAGGGGACAGAGAGGGGTGGGGAGAGGGTTGAAAAGTTGTCTTGCTTTACAATTGCCGCGAGAAGTCTTTCAACCAACCAATCACCGAAAGCGACTTATTACCAAGTTCCACTTCAACATTTCATTAATTTATCAATTTTAATTTTCTTTTACTTAAACTTATAAACTCAATATTTCCAGTTCCACTCGACAGGTGAGGGGAAAAAATATTAATTATTTTTTATTTCAACTTATAATATTCACCATTTCATTAATTTATGAATTTGATTTTTTTATTGCAACTTAAAATATTCAACATTTTATTAATTTATCAATTTTTTTTATTTCGACTCATAATATTCAACATCTCATTAAATTATCAATTTTATTTATTTCATTTCAACTTATAATATTCAACATCTCATTAAATTATCAATTTTATTTATTTCATTTCAACTTATAATATTCAACATTTCATTAATGTATCAATTTCATTTTTTTTTATTTCAATTTATAATATTCAACACTTATTAATTTATCAATGTTATATACTTTACTTAAACTTATAATATTCAACATTTCATTAATTTATCAATTTTTTTCTCAACTTATAATATTCAATATTTTATTAATTTGTCAATTTTATTTAATTTTATGATATTCACCATTTCATTAATTTATTAATTTTATATTTTCTATTTCAATTTATAATATTCAACGTTCATTCATTTATGAATTTATTTTTTATTTCAACTTATAATATTCAACATTTCATTAATATTCAACATTTTATTAATTTATCAATTATATTTTTTTTTACTTAAACTTATAATTATTCAACAATTCATTAATTTATGATTTTTATTATATTTATTTCAACTTATAATATTCAACATTTCATTAATTTCAAATAAATCTAAATTTTAATAATTTCAAAATTTTCCATGTTACAAAAATTGCTTATTCCATTAAAAAAAAAAAAAAAAAATATCGAAATACTTCAAGAGAACAACGACATACTTGTAATTTTTTCTCTCCCATTTCTCAAACCTCCGCTGTTGAAAATGTTCGAACTGCAGCAATCACAATAAAAAGAAGAGGGAGGCGGGGGTGTGAAAGGTTGTCTTGTTTTACAATTGCCGCGAGAAGCATTACAACCAACCAATTACCGAAATCGACTTATTACCAAGTTCCTTGGACCCAAGTTTATTTCAACTTACAATATTTAACATTTCATTAATTAATTAATTTTATTTATTTCTATTTCAACTTATAATATTCAACATTTCATTAATATTCAACGTTTCATTAATTTATCAATTTTATTTATATTATTTCAACTTACAATATTCAACATTTCATTAATTTATCAATTTTGTCATTTTTATTTCAACTTACAATATTCAACATTTCATTAATTTATCAATTTTGTCATTTTTATTTCAACTTATAATATTCACCATTTCATTAATTTATCAATTTTGTCATTTTTATTTCAACTTATAATATTCAACATTTCATTAATTTCAAATGTATCTAAATTTTAATAACTTAAAAAATTTTCGACGGTATGAAAATTGCTTATTTCATTAAAAAAAAATCGCAAATACCATGAAATTTCGAGAGAACAACGTCATGCTAGTCATTTTTTTTCTCTCTCCCATTCCTCCAACCTCCGCTATTAAAAATGTTCGAACTGCAGCAATCACAATAAAAAGGGGACATGAAGGGGGTGGGCGGGGGTGTGAAAGGTTGTCTTGCTTTACAATTGCCGCGAGAAGCATTTCAACCAACCAATCACCGAAAGCGACTTATTACCAAGTTCCACTTGACAGGTGAGGGGAAGCAATATTTATAAGCCTTCACGCATAAAACGACCCAGAAAGAAATTAACTCTCTCGCACATCAGCAGCAGCACACCGTTGCAAAAAAGAAAAGAACGATGAAAGATTAAAAAAATATAAATAAATAAATAAATAAAAACGGTAGAAAACGTGAGAAAAGAAGAAAGAAAAAAAATCAAAGGGAAGAAGAAAGAGTGAGAGAGAGAGAGAGAGTTGGGATAGCTCGCGGGGGTAAAGCTTTAAAAGTTTGCGAATCGCGTGCCAATAAAAGGTGGGAGAGGGGTCGAAAAGAACACGAAGTTTTCGCTCTTGCAGACGACAATTTGAGACCTTCTACTTATTGACGCCTAGTTGTTAATCATGGTGGAGTTGTAGCGAGTGTCTGTGTGTCGTGTTACTACTGCTGCTTCTGCAACTGCAACTGCTGCTTGCAAATTCAACCCTTCACGAGGGCTCTCTCAATCTCGGCCTTCCCTCCACCCCTCTGAACGATCCCTCCCCCCTCCTCCGATATTTTCTAATAACGTGTTCCCGAGTGGCAACGGGGGATGTTCGAAAAGATCGGATTCTGCTAATAGCGCTTCTTGTAGAATGGGAAAGGAACGGTTAAAAGTTTTAAGTCGACAGTTTTGGGGAGGGGTGTTTGCTGCTGCTTTTGCGTTCGCTGTTCTATGGAAGACCTGAGGGCTTCTTCTCGTTCGTCAATTCGTGTTGTTGAAGTGGGAGGTATGGAAGAGAGGGGGTGGGGAGGGATGGAAGGGGGGGTTTTCCGGCCAATAGATGATTACTGTTTAACAATTTTGCGATTGCCTTCAAGAGTCTCATTTCTACCTAGTGCATTAAATACTGAATGTCTTGGAGAGAAACAGTGGTAAAAGTCACGGAGGATTGAAGTAACAGAAAAAAATAATTACATTTTTACAGCACTGCATATGTGTTGTAAAAAATATAAAGTTACTTCTGATAAATTGAAAAAGTATTCCATTTTAACACATTTGTGTGTTAATGAGCACATTATTTGCTTTTTAAACAGCAAATAATGTGGCATTATTATTACTATTTTATCTAAAAATTTAGGAAGAAAAAGGTTTTACTCGTTATCTCATGGTTAATATGTAGATTTAATTAAAAGGAAAATTCAGAACTAAAAATTTTTGATTGATTCTAATTATACATTATTTTGTTAAAAAAACTTTTCTCTACAAAAGTAAAATGTAATTTCAGAGAATTTTGGAGTGAAATATGTATTTTGGTTTGGATGCAATACAGTATGCTCTACAAAAGACTAATTATAGGTCAACTAGATCGAATTCTAAAATTTAGGCAATGCGTTTTTGAATAATTAACAGGGATTTAAGACATTCTGAACTTGACATGAGGCACAAGAAAATCTTTGTTGTCAGTAAGATCTGATCTTAAAAAGTCTGATTTTCAATCTTGAATATTGATAGAAAAAAACCTTAAACTGAAATCTTGATGTCTCGAAATATATGAAGACAGATAAAAAAAAAATAAAAAAAAGTGGAGAAATTATTTTTAACGTTTTTAAAAAAGTTAGCTCTAGAGAAACTCTTCTCTCATTTACAATGATTTGATCATTTGTTTATCATTGCAAATCAATTACATTATGGAATTTTATCGTTTCAAATTGATGAGCTGTTAATGAAAATACTCAAAAATTTATTCATTTAATTTACTAATCTTTAATAGTGCATTTCAGTTATTATTATTATTAGAGTATTTTTATAATAAGGCCAACGGCCGTACCATGCTAAATATACCGATATACCGGTTCTCGTTAGATCACCGAAGTCAAGCATCATTGGGCGCGGTCAGTACTTGGGTGGGTGACCACCTGGGAACACCGCGTGCCGTTGGCAAATTTGGGACCTGAATGGCCGAGTGTCTAGCGCTCTGGCGCTCGGTGCCACAGGTTTCGGGTTCGAATCCCGGCGGTGCCATGGATGTTTGTAGTGGTTCGGAATCCACTTTAAGCCGTAGGTCCCGGTCTTCTATGACTGTAAGAGCGTCACGGAGCAAAAAGTCAGGCTTCTACCTACGGGTGCTCCATCACAACAGAAGCTGCTTCCTTCCCCATCATGAGTCCATATGGGCTCGTGGGCTTGGCCAGCCAAGTGGGATAAGAAACAACAAACAACAACATTTTTATAATAGCCCAGATTCAGGTTTCGATTTAAAAGATGAGAGAAAAAAGTTTTCTGACAATTTTAGCCTTTAATATAATGTTTATGTCTCTCAAACACCATTAAATTATTTCAATATAAAGGAATAAAAAAGTATTCTTAATGTTAATGTGCACAAAAATTAATATGTTGTTTACAAAACTTAAATATAAAGTTCATAATATGATGGTGATAAATAGGATACATGACACTATAAGATGGTAATAAATATGATATATGATGTTCACAAAGCTTAATAAGATAAGATGTGCATATAAACTAATAAAACATCATGTGTACAAAATTAATTACAAATTAATTGTATTAAAAGCTTCAAAATTATAGTTTACTATGCGATTAAAGTTTTTTAATTTTAGTAAACAATAAATTACTAATGCATAGATAAATAATATTTCATAATAATAAAATTTTTCATATAATTTCACAATTACAAAAAATTATGTTTTACGTTTCTTTCAGATGCATTTTTAAGCTTTAAATAAATGTTAATAAAATAAAAAATGTATGACTTCTTATCCTGTTGATGACTTAAAAATATTATAATATAGGTAAAAATTATATTGACCACAATAAATCCATTGCTAATTTTTAAAGATGTAACAATTATTTTAAAAAAAACAAAATTTTTATTTTTATTAGTTTAATAGTCATAAAAGCAATATAATAATTTCCTGTTCGGAACAGAGGAAAAAAAAGAATCTTGCTATCCTGGAATTGTTTTTCCAGCGATAAGCATCATGTTGTAAGAAAGACAGATTTACAGAGAATTTCTGCTAAGATGTGATATTTGATTTATTATAATAGTATATTTATTTAACTTTATTTCTCCAGTGTTAAACGTACATTTAGTGGCATATTTATGAATCTCTGTATTTTCGTGTGTTATAATATATTCGTTCTGTTAATAAAAAACACATCTTCATGTGGAATATTTATAATTTTAAGCGTTTAAATCACGTACCTGATTAAAACAATATAACAATGAAAACAATAACAACTAATCATAAACCAAATATTTATAACATAAAATAAAAATATATATAACTAGCAAACAATTAATCAGTTAAATAAATAGTCGAAACAACTTTTACAATCCTTGTTAAAAATCAGAATGCTAGAATGAAAAAGAATGTTGTTATCTTGGAAATTTCTTTTCCAGCGATAAGCATCTTGTTGCAAGAAAGATAGATTTACAGAAGATTTCGGCTAATATGAATCATTGTTTTATATAATTTTCAGAAATATAAAGAAATTTATGGTTAACAAATATTATTGTATTTTATAATAAAGGAATTTTTATTTTATTAATTAAATCGTATTTTTTAAGGGAATTATAAGAAATCCTTTTAAAAACTATTTGGTGAGGACAAAAACATATGAATTTTATTTTATTTTTTCTATGTTTATTAAAATTAGTTGAAATATGTTTTCCTTTCTTATATTTTTAACATGCTTTCAAAATCGTTAATAGTTAATAACCAATTGATGTTCTATGAATGAAATTTGTAATTTTTTCAATAAAAAGATTAATAGACACAAATATGTCTAAAATTTTTTTTTTTTTTTTTAATTTTTTATCAAATTATATTATTTATAATTTTTGACATAGTAATTACTTAAAAAATATCAAAAATAATTTTCACTGAGTGAAACGTTAAGAGAAAAATATTACTTGAATTAAAAGCAAAAAAGCTTACCAATTAATTTTATTTAATTACAGAACATAATTGTAATCTGATTCATACACGGTTTTTAACCTCAAACTTGATAAATTTTAAAGATCAATTATCTACTAAAACAGAAAATAAGAATGATTCTCGCTTCCTCAAATTATAGTTTCTAACCGTAATTAGATCTTTCTTAACTGAAATTAAAATAAAGAATTACTACCTTTTTTTTAAAAAACCAAACTAAATTCATCACACGAAGTAATTCTCCACACTTTTAAAAAAAGAAAAAAAAATGATGAGGAGGATGGAAAGGACAAGATGGTAAAAGGAATAACCGGTCATATTACAACTCGTGCACCCCCCAATCACTTTCTCGAACGCCACTTGTCCTCAAAGATCCCATCCACTTTTGAATGAAGGAGCTTCCGCGTTTTCCCATCCTTCTCACAATTTGTGACTATGTTGACAATCCAGAAGAAGTCAGAAGTTGGAAATTAAAGAAAGTGCTAGAAGAAGAGCCTTTCCCGTCTCTCCCTCCACCCCCAACCACCCTCTTTAACAACCCTCCCTTCTAGGCAAGAGAAAAAAAAGTGCCAAACACAAAACAAGAAAAGATAAGAAGTGAGGAAGGAAACTCATCGACTAGGCAAGAGTGTGTGCACACACACATGCACGCCACGCACATGCAACGTTTCGTTCGAGAGAGTTTAAAAAGAAAAAAGGGGGGGGAGAGAGAAGATGAAGATGAAGAAAGAAAGAAAAAAGAAAAAAAATGCATTAAATACTCGCAAGACTTTTAAGGCTATGGGAGTGTTATTCGATGCAAGTATTCAAGAAGGACTTTATAATTACAACGGGAGCAGTTCCTTGGCCACGACAGTGTTAATCTCTATTTTCCTCTTTTCTCTTCTATTTCTTCTTTCACTCGCTTTCCAAAGCTTGAGCGTTGCCTAATGAAGAAATTTTAATTACCAGACTAAGAAGATTTTAAGGGGGTTCACAGCAAGGGGGTTGTCTCTTCTTCTTCTTCAATTGTGCTGGGGGTGGTGGTGAGAAAGGGGTACTGGGAAATCAATGAGCATGTGATAAGTGCGGTTTGCCTTAGTGGCAGAGGGATGCAAGGGGTGGGGGTGGACCAAACGATGCGAGGACAAGTTGCCAGCTCTTCTGCCAAATGCTGAGGAATTATAAAATAATTGAAATTTATCGGTGTTGAGATTCCTCATTTGCGGAATCTTTTTAGAAGAAGAAGAAGAGGAAGAAGATGACGATGATGAAGGGAAGGATTTTTTTTTCTTGTTGAGGAAGTACTTTTGCTTGATGGTTTGGTGATTCTTCTTTGTGAGTGTGTCGTGCGATAGTGCTTAATCACGGGGGGCGGTGCCGAGAAGAGGTTGAGTAATTGGCTAGGAGAGTAGCAAAACGTTGGAGGAGAGGGAGAGATTAAGGGAGGGAAGGGGTTGGGATGTTCTTCTGTTTGGGATTTTTCTGTCGATGTTAATTAGATTGGTATGTGTAAGACAGTTTTGTGAAGTGAACTTTCTGGGCTACTCGCGTGCAGGGTGGGAGTATTTAGAACTTGTTTCTGAACGTGTTTGATGTTGGTATGTTTGTTCTTTGTAAGGTGTAAAGCATAATATTGCACATTCCATCAAAATATGAGTTGAGCATTCTAGTGTTATGTTCAAATAATTGAATTCGAATATTTGCTATAGTGAGATTTAATTAGAAATAAAGTACTTTTATGTTTTGCCATATGTCACTGACTAACATAACCGGCTTCTCTTCGTTCATTATGCTAAATATTTTGTTTGAAGTAATTAGGATAAGCTTCTACAAATCAGAAATATTTTATTTTATTAGTTAATATAGATAGTTTTTCAGAATTTATTTTTCCAATACATGTGATAATATATTCATATAAGTGCTTTTTTTCTGTAATATAATGTATGAAGCAATAAAATTTATTGCAGTTAAGTGCGAAAATATTAAATGTCTATTATATTAACAATGAAGAGCCTTTCCTTATTTGTGTTTTTAAATATGTACTGCAAGTTAAGTAATATTACTTATTACAAGATTGCTATTATAAGTTACTATAAGTTAAGGACTATTACCACAAATGCTTTTCACCACAGTAATTACTAAGAAAACTGATTAAAGAAGGATTGTTAAGGAATATTATTATAAATATTTTTCAACAGTGTAAATGCTGAGAAAAATTTTTTTTCACAGTTTAGAAACTTAATTTTTTAATTAATTTATTCAAATAATTATATGGTAAAATAAAAAAAACCTAATGAATTAATGTAGTATAGTTTACGCTCGTGCAAATGAAATTTTTTTAAATTTTTAAGTTCTCGATTTATTTAGTTTTCAATTAAATTATCTACATTAAAAGAAAAAAAAAACCTCAAAATGATATACTTTAAAAATCACAGTAAATATATTTTTGAAAATTAATTAATTTATTTTATGTTATTACAATTTGAATTAGTGCAAATTCTTGCCATTACTATCGCACCCCATAAACTTTTGAAAACTATTTTTAGTATTAGAAATGTGAGAAAATAATGATATTGATATTAATTATTTTGAATTAATTATTTTTATTGTTGAAATTGGTAGGATATAACATATTATTGGGATTTTTTTATCAATGATAATAAGAAAGTTTTTGAGACTAATACTATTTCTTAAAAGAATTTAAAGCAAGGAACGAGTTATTAAAGCATAACGAATTGTGAAATACTCAAAATTTTTACACATTATATTGAGATTAAAAAATGACAAAAAAGGAATTTACAAAATCATTTTAAATCAATAATTTTCCTACTAATTCTTTAAATTGGTAGGTAAAATTATTTACTTACAAAATTTAATTTTGCGATTAAACACTTTTGCACTAAAACGATTTTTTTCATGATAAAAACGAATTAATAAAATTTTAAGATCATTAAAGAAATTTTTTCAGTGATTTTTCTAATAATAAAGGATTCATG